TCCTATTCAGACTGATGTTTCACGGTAAATATTAATCCCATTTTTCGGTTGGCATGTTGTGGTCAATAGTTAAACCCGTTGATAACTTAAATTAGGGAAGGATCATAATTTATTAATCATGGAGGTGGAGGGTATTTGGTTTACCAAGAACCATTCCAAGTGGCAGAATCTTAGCTTGTTGTTGCTGTATTTTTCCTGACCCGATGGAGCTCCACATAAGTGTTGAAAAGCGGTAGATCCCACTTACCGGTCGTGAATACTGCACTCCTCCAGAATCCACCACATTTCTGAGCGCGATCCCCAACACACAGCGCATTGCACTCCTCATCCGATACCTTGGTGTATTTACCGTACGAGTCACCACACCGGCACAAATACCCATACTGCACTCCGGCATACGCGTGACCAGCTCCCTGGCATGCACTGCGGCACGAGTCAGGAGTCAGGTTTGGCACCGAAAGAATTGTGGGAAGATCGCGGTCAGGAGACTTGTCTTCGTAGCAACCAACATATCCTATATAGATATAAGATATCCATGTATAACAAATATGTAAGTGAGTGCCCTTTTGTACTGAGGCACTGTTTCCACTCCACTACCAGGGCCGTAGCTAGGGGGGTCCTGGAGTTTCCCCGTGATCCCTCCCCCCTTTGTATGCCTTTTTTAAGCAAACAGCCTACAACAGGTGGCGAAAACGACACGACAATCCGGTGAGTACCCTCACTTTCACACAGAGTGACCCCCCTTTTAAAAAAATATCATGGCTTCGCCCCTGAGTGCTGACAATTTCCCTTTTGTAAAAATAGAAATTTGACGGTAGTATGTTATAGTTGTTATTCTTGCTATACATTTGTACGAATAGTGAGGCTTATTACTTTGACAAGCTATAATAGTTTGTCAAAATACTAAGGGTTAATCATTGACTTAACGAATGCCCACCAAACAGGCGACCCACAGACAAAAATCACTTGGTCTTCACAGACGCTTTGCGAAGTCCATCGATTATTTTTTATGTTGAACAATGTAAGTTTACATTTTCACAAACATTCCCGCATCTTTAAATTCACTTATTGTCCCTTATTTTTCTTTGCTTGTACGAACAATGACTGAATATTCTATTTTATTCACCGTACCATCTTCTCTAATTTCTCTTTCATGAATCGTTAGAGTAGCGTCATCGTCATCATCATCATCGCCTCCAAAACTCGAATCCATTTCGCTCTCGTCCGTACTCTGTGAGTAGACTGCTGGCCGCTCTATGATTGGATCGCGGGCCTCAGTTATCTCCCTTGTGTACACAACTCTTGGTTCTGAGAAGTCTCCGGAGTGATCGTAATATGTTTCTCGTTTCACAGGCTTTACTTTTTTATCGAGGCTGGAAACAGCTTCGGTCTCGCTAGGAAGGGATGCCACCGAAGCTTCCGTAATGTCCGGTGCGTCGGCGAGGGCGTCTTGGTCGCGGTAAAAGCGCGCTACAAGACTGTTGCTAACCAAGGCGTCATTTTCACCTAGGTTGCTCTCAGACAGCAGCATGGCGTCTTCTTGAGACGATCTCTTCACGCGAAAAAACGCGTTAGGGAGCAGGGCATCCGCTAACGTTCGTGTTGTCTTTATGTCCGGTTGTTCTTTAATTTTGTCTTCATCTGGCTGTTGTGACATTTCATCTTCGGCTTCCTGCTTCTCGTTTCCTGATCCTGATGAGGAAGATAGATGATCCTCCTGTTCAGAATTATCACTTTTATCGTCGTTTTCAGCGGCAGCTACTAAATCGTCCGCCAGTGAATCACTCTTCACGTCACGTCGGAACAATTTCCCGCCGTTATCTGGCTTGTCCTCCTCGCTGCTAACCTTTGGTTCGCTTACTGCTAAGCCACTGCTGACTTCATCCCCATTTTTGCTTAGTTCCATTTGCGCCGTTTCGCTCAACATGTTAAGAGCTTTCTCGGCGTCTTCTCCGCTCCCAGAGCTTGCTTCCTCGTTGAAAAACTGCGGCAGTTTATCATCGATTGCATTGTCTGGTTTTAGCCATAAACCAGATTCCGAGGACTCGATCTCTTTATCTGAATTGTCATTATCCTCTGGAGCGAGAGAGCTAATCGCCCGTAATGTTGCAATGAGGCTGTCAAGCGAATTTGAACTCATGCTTCGCTTATTGTCTCTCTTTGAGTGCTGCAAAGGTCCGCTCCATAACCCGGAACCGGAAGTGCCTGGTTCTGGTTGTTGGCCGGAACCAGAAATGGTATCGCCTTTGATCAAAGAGCTTTCGTCGTGGCTTCTCTTGTGAATTCTGAGTCGAAATCTCTCGGGTCGTTTTGCTGTGATGTCATTATCCTCACGGGATGAACGGGACGATCTGGCCTCCATTTTGGTTTTGTAACTTTCCTGTGATTCACGTTCAGTGGTGTCTATGGCAAAGAATCGTCTTTTGTGCCTGATCTCAGTTTCTTTGTCGTCTTGCGATCTTCTTACTTTGTTGATGAGTTCCTCGCCGTTGTCAAACTCTCCTCCTCCCTTCCTTTTGACACGAAGAAGCTCCCGGTCTATTGGAAGACCTGAATAAGGAGAAGAACGCGGGAGAGTGGCTAGTTAGAATAAAGCTAAATGTCAAAGAGTTACTAAAAAAAATTCTTAAGTCAGTTCAATTTTGCAGATATGAACCGAGTATCACCACATGATAGTGCTGTTCAATGGCTTTCATTAAAAATATATTTGGACATTAGGGGCATCATCCGCAAACGTAAAAATGAGAGTAACCTTGTACAGGATAGATGTCGTTCTTTTACAAAATGAAATAGTCATAGATTCATCTTTTTTATTATTATTATTATTTTAGTGAGTGTATCTAATTTACCATATTATGCTTTTAAGTTCAGTAAGAAATTTCATTTTTTTTTTAGGCGTTTACTCTTTTTCTTCCGCTTTTGAGGGCATTGCCGCTCGGATTTCATACCGTTATTGGGTCATTACAGTGCAAAAGGGCCTTTTGGAGGGTCTTGCAGTGTGTAACTCACCTATGAGCCCCTGGATAAAGTGGGCTGTAATTAGCCATGCCAAGGTTGTGGTAATGTTCATGATACGAAGTCTCCTATAAAGAAAAAAAGTAATATCAGCATTTAGACTATTTTAAAAAACTGTAAACTTATAGTCCGTATATGAAATAATTATCATGATCGCGTTTTAACGACTTAATTCGCGCATTTACCCACAGTAATATAATGTTATTAAAATGTATGTCTAATATCATAAAGAATAAAACATAGTCTTTCTTCTGCTTTGACTTTTCGTCACAAATTTCCTTTTTTTCGCTCAGCAGAAATTAATTGTAGAATAAAAGAGGATATTTACCACGTTTATCGGTGATGTTAAATAGTCCCGCCCATGCGATCAACAAACCAAGCTAATACTTTTTTATCGAAGATGTAGAGGACTGTAACGCACGTTTTCAGTTGTCAGTTGTTAGAATTAGTTGAATACTAAGTTTTTTTCAGTTCTTTCGTTATATTTACCCGTTGAGATGTTTTAGTGCAGTGAGAATTTATCTCATAATATCCAAAATGCAAACCATTAGAGGCGAACACCAAAGTGGATAAATGATGTTGAAATCAGGACAATTAGAATGTTTTATTTGACCGTTATGTGGAATCTTTGCATTGGCATTTTCCTCTAAGCTGTTTCAAAAGCTTGGCAAATACAAAAATGATGATAGATGGGGTTATTGTTATTTTTGCAGCTATTTTACCATTATTTTATAACCAAGCGAAAATTTAAAATGGTTCACTGAACGTTTTCAGAAAGCGTTGATTCTTGCATGAATAACATCTACCGCGTATAAAATATTCATGTTTCATTTTTTAAATCAAACATTTTGAAGTGAGACGCCAAAATTATAGTAAAAAGTTGGTTTAAGTCTTGTTCGTGTGCGTTTTCACTCGTCAAACGAATTAGAAAACTAGCAGAAAGAAAAATTAAACCACAAGTAACATCAGACAGTGGTACCGGTAAAATTCAAATTCACTTTGAATATACCAGAGAAAAGATGACCTGTTGATGATTTTAAAGTTTTTAAAGCTTCTGACACATTGATCGTAATGTTCGATTTGTTTTTTAGGAAAGTTAGCTTGCAAAGTTTGATCTTCGGTCAAATTTTGTTCATATTTCCCCGAGGTTCCTCTTTTTGCAAGCTATGTTATCAGGACTTTTCAGTTTCTCTTCCCGAGTATCGCATTCTCTTTTGTGTTCACAATTTGGAGCACCAAAATGTGTGTTTAACAGAAACTTCTCGTTTCGTTTTGTATTACAAGCCCGGAAAACAGACTAGAGTTATCAGTTGTAAAACTGAACAATGTTCTGATGCGAAATCCCTACCTTGTAATTACAAGCTAGGGATTTCGGAGGAGAGTTCCTTATTCAACCCGTTACCTACCCTTTACTAGCAAATCTATTTCCACCACAGGCTTTTCATCTCACACCAAAATAAAGAATCGTTCTAAACACTGGTCTCGCCTCTCTCTCCCACCTGAGTGTTGAATCGACTAACAGCAGACGGCTTCTTTCAATATTTGCCTGTTTCAAAACTCACTTGTTATTATATCCCTTACGATCGCAAGACGCACGGTTTTAGTGAGACTTTCAAACGTCGATCCACAAGCAATGAATAAGTTATGAGTTGAAGGTGAATTTTTGGTACCTGTTTTTAAAATCAAGGATGCGTTCACTGTTATTTCTCTGACTACTCCAATTCCAAGCTGAGGTGACATCCCTTCGATTCCTCTTCAAAACACACGTGAATAGAAAACTTTTCTAAACATATTTATTTTTTGTTGATGTTGAAGCCTTTTCTTTTTAAATAGCGCTTCCAAGGAGAGAAAAAAAGGACCATTTACAGGACTTTAGCTGTCTCGCATTCTTATCGTTTCCATGGATACTTAGAACCACCAGCTCCTTTACAATACTGATTTTCAAATGGGTCCAAACGCTCACTTGCAGAGAGAAGTTTTCGAGGTATAAATTAAAGCAGTCAGCATACGCCATTCCAATAGACTACGAGCTGCCCTGCGTTAGAGTGTGGACGGGACACGAGACTCCCCACCCCCTGGTGATATTTTTCTTGCATGTTAGTTCGTTTTGGCGGAAAGGCCATCGACAAATTTAATTGGATCTACTTTCTACTTTCCTCGCTGCGAGGAAAAAGATTTCCTGTTTGACTTTTCACTACAATGATTCCCCGTTTTAAAGTTTCCCCACTTTAAAGAATCCCCGGGTTTTGAAGGCATAATTTCACGTTTCGGCGCAAGTGTACAAGCTATGCCGTAAGCGTGATTTAACTTTCTCGACTTTCTTACTGAACCACGTGTAGTTCAGCAATCACAAACTATATAACTTGTACAGGCAGAATGACGGATGGCCAATTCTAACGAAAGATGTCGACGGATTTAGTTTTGAGTAACGAATTTCTGTTATTCGCGCTGGAGGCTTTATTCTGGACACTCAAGTTTATCTGCGCGCATCCGATTGGTCCATAAACTGTGGAGTTAAGTGGTGCTTGCAATTCAAAACATGAAAAAGGGAATTGCAATGAGAAATATCATCACGACCGCAGCGTTACCACGAATGGCCGCCACAATTTTTAAAGGAATTCGAAATTTTCCTACTAGTCTTCAGCTCGCTGTCGATTGTTTAAAGTGCACCTAACCCCAAAATTTGTTTTTTCGCTAAAACGAATCTAGACTTTATTCGAAGCATTTGGGCGAAGAAATTTTTGAATTTGGTTGAAATTTAATAAATAGTGGAATCAAATGAGCGTACGTATGGCTTGCACATGCGCCGAGTCGTAAAGCCAATCTCCGCCCCCTTAAAGGTTGTCGTCTTTATGTTTGTTCCTTTTTAAGCTTCCCGGGTTTAGGGCTTCCCTCTTTGCCTGCTTTTGTAAAGATTCCCTGTTTTTAAGGTACAGTCAAAGCTCTCGAAGACGAACACCTTGGATTTTTAAAGAAAGTGATTGACACTGGGACTGTTCGCTGACAAAAATGAAATTTCAGAAGTGATCACATTGAAAAGAAAAAAGTCGTTCTTCTAGGAGAAAGACAAACATGCCATCACATCAAATCTTATTGGGAGTTGTGGATGGTCTGTAATGCAGTGCAGAATGTTTTGCAACAGTCTGTCACAGGCAGCCACACAAGAGCAATCAAACATTGAAAAGCTCAGAACTATAGTCGTGGCTGTAAACAGGGGCGTTTCAAGTTGTACACTTTTACTGGGGGTTAAAACGGTGTACTTTTACACGACTTCTAGTATTGTCTGAGGGGTAGGGAGCTGATAGCTTAAAGAGAGCTGATTGAGTGGGGAAAAAAAGTCTCACAGGTAGCTTTTTCATAGCAGGTGCAACTGTCTTGTGAGCTTCATAGATTGCTTATAAGGACAAAGTTCATGAATTGTTGAGATAAACTATAATGAAAAGATGTGAACCTCTCGGTAACAATGTCCAAATGCAATCATTTGCTAGTGGTGCTTAGTGCCGTTCACGAAGGCAAACTTCCACACGGCCTCAATTACGCCACATGTAAAAAAAAAAAAAATCTGTGGCAAGTGTCTTGAGTAGAAATGCTAATGCCTGCACTTATTTTAAGGGATAGCTTCCATCAGCTCATATTCCCGGAAGCTCATATTTCCTACTGTCGAAACTACTTCGAGTAGTTCAGTGAAAATTTCCATAAGCTCTTTTGCTGAATTCGAAATAAGTCAAACTAAACAAACTCTCTGGTGTGCTGTTGATTTTAAGAGTAAAACCAAGTCCTTCTCTACGAATAAGAATATCTGCGTTAAAATTACACCTGAAATGTGTTCGTAACCTTATATACCGAAATTTGTTAATAGCTTGCCGAAACGAGGTTATAAATGATGAATACGATTTAGCCCAAAATCGTTCTCGTCCTTTGCTTTCCATACAAATGTGTATAAATCGATAGAAATAATAACAGCGAAGTTGTTTTATCTCAATGTCATTCACTTATAAGATTCAAGACTTAGTGTTTTCAAATTTAGTCATGATCAACAATATTCGAATAAATTTAGGAACTCAATTAGTTAATGGTTTTAAATAAACGAAGATCCACAATTTGACTCATATAAAGTTACTCCTAATTACATGTCATAATGAAACAGAAAAGGAGTTTTAATTTTGTTTTTCATATGATTGTAAGCTAAAGATTTCAAGGAGATATTAAATCGTTTTCTTAGTTTTAAAACAGAAAGAAAGAAATTCGAATAATACAACACGCTTAGGCACGTCAAAACAGACTTGACTTACGAATTGAATTAATTATGGATGATGTTTGTCTTTTTGCTTCGCTCAATAACTGAAAAATCTTTCCTGCCCACTACTAGTCTTTCTAACATCAAGAGGTATCATACAACCGTGAAAAACACTTTCTTTTATCCCCTAATCATTGTTCTACCGACATGCAACTCATTCCTGTTGGAAAAATATTTTTTTCTAGAGGCTCTGTTGAGCCAGGCACGTCTGGAAAACCACTCTAATTAACCAGCTAGACTAAAACACTTGAATCAACCTCCTGTCAACTTATCCAACGTATATGTTATTACACTGTAATTTCGCGATCGATACCCTAAAAAAGTGCTTGCTTGCAAAATACTTTGTTATCTTGCTCTGACTGTATGCCTGAAGAATACTGGTAGTGGGTAGTGTATGAGATCAAGTTAAATTCTATGTTGTCTAGGCTTTGCTTAATTTTTCTTTTAATATTTCTTTTGAAAATTTTATTGGACAGCAAGAAATATCCGTCACCTTATACCCCGTGACCTGTCTAATTGCGTAGTAGTATTATATGGGTAAATGGACCTTCACGTCTATCACTGTGATAAATTACGTATACTGACAGCTTATTAGCTATAGGAGTGGCAGAGCTATTTAAAAGCCACGTATACGAAGGCAAAGAAGCATTACTCCTCGCACCGAGAAGATACCACAGATCTCACTGATGGCTACTTTATGGCATACTCAGTTGGTAATTGTCACTCTCAACATTTTCCTGGTTGCCTTATTTGTGGCGGCGAACAAAGACTTTTGTAGTGTTTTTGAAACTCAACTCGGTAAGTAATCACATAGCACATAACTAGAGCGGTCATTGGAAGTTTTGTTTAGATCTCTTCGTAGGATATTTTACATCAATGAAACTTTTATTTTTCTGTTGTTTTCAGACCATGCTTTAGTTGGTCACATCATGAGGACAGCTGCTGTTGTTGACGAGTTTGAATGTCAGCTGAAATGCATTGGAAATAACAGCTGCAAGTCTTTTAATACTCATCTCGATGGCAACAGTGCCAAACCATTCAAATGCGAGCTAAATAGCAAAACACGACAAATGAAGTCAGGAGATTTTAAATGGAGGAAAGGATCTATATACTATGGCTCTGTACAGGTCAGTTTTTTCCCTTTAAGGTGGCTAGAGATCACTATTTAGTACTATTAAGTGATGTTGCAATATTGGTATCACGCAAATACCATAATTATGTTCACAGTTATGTTCATGGCATAATATCGTGCTATAGCAAGAGTCGAACCTGTGTAAACACCTTGAACTTTAGCTTTGAATGCTTATAACTCAAAACTGAGCTCGGTGACTCCCATTTTATTCTTTTATGGAGCTGTTAGGGTTAAGATTAGGGTTATTAGCATGTCAACATACAACTCTTTGGAAACAACTCTGTGGAACAAACAATTCTGTGGAGCGAGCTCAGAGCCACCTAAAATTTCGGCAATTTGGACCCTGAGACCCTATAGAACTACACGATACTGCCTTGACTGTTGTAGTGAAATAATATATATACAGCAGCGAGATAACTCTTATAATTGTCTCAACTTAACTCAGGTCTCCTGCATGGATGTTTCCCGTGATCAGAATGGACCAACAAAGAGAGGTCAGTGTCGTCCGGAGTACCAGGAAAAACAGACGTTGTAGGTTCTTTGGTTATCAATCAAAGGTCTTTTATGGAAAAAGTCCTGGAGTCATTTGTGAATAAAAAGTTATGTAGTAAGAAAGACAACCGTAGGGTTGTAGATTACCACTATCCCCTTCCCCCCTCCTGCATACCTTCAAGGATATTCAAGCAAACAAAATGCAACCTGGAGGGTGTAGTAAGCTACGTAGAAACATCTTTCTTTTGTTAGAAGCTACATATCCTTGTAAAGCAGCAGTTATTACTTGAAATATATTCTTTTTATCCAAGCAACCTAGAATGATGAATTATATCACATGGTAATAAGTTCATGAGATCCAAACACCAAAAATTACTCCAAAGTAATAAAAATCGATAAACCATCGCGAAGAAGCACTAAAATGTACAAAACAACTGCATGAAAGTTAAATTTTGTTTCCTAAAACAAAAAATGCAAAATTTGGAAAAGAATACAGAACATGGTTGCCATAGAAAACATTAAGTTCTGAGAACGATGAAATTTTAATACCAAATTTAACATTACGTTGCGAAGTTTGGAACTCTTTATTTAAATAGTGCGAGAGTTTCTACCCCTCCCCAACTCTCCGACCCCCACCTCCCATTCATTCTAATGGGATTCCTTTGGAAATCTGACACGAGCTCATATTGTGTATATCAGTAAAAATGCTTGCAAGCTTCACCTGAACGTTCGGAAGCGGGATATTCCCAACAACTGTCTCCAAGATATTTTAGCGCTTAAATTTTTATTTATTTTTTTTTTCAACAGATTGCCTAGATCTGCTTAAATCAGGCCATACTCAGAGTGGAGAGTACTTTGTCAATCCAGACGGTAGAGGAAAATTCAAGGTCTACTGTGACATGCGCACTGACGGTGGAGGCTGGACTGTGTTTCATAGAAGACAGGATGGCTCGGTAGACTTTTATCGTGGATGGAATGATTACAAAGCAGGCTTTGGCCAGGTGTCTGGAGAGTTTTGGCTCGGAAATGACAAGATTCATAGGCTAACAGCCTCTCGACCCGGTTCTTTGCGAGTAGAGCTGGAGGACTGGAACAGAGTTAGAGTGTTTGCGAAATACGGCAAGTTCAATATTGGTGATGAATATGCGCAGTATCGACTTGAAGTGGGTTTATATTCAGGGACAGCAAAAGATTCATTAGGATATCATGATAACATGGCTTTTACCACAAAAGACAGAGATAATGACAAAGATAGGTCTAACAACTGTGCAGTTAGATGTACCGGTGCCTGGTGGTACAAACGTTGCCAACACTCCAATCTAAATGGGCAATACTTGGGAGAAAACAAAAGAAATTGGCAAGGTGTTAGATGGTATCACTTCAGAAAGAGTCTTTCACTTAAATTCGCTGAGATGAAAATAAGGTTGTTATTGTAGAAATAATATCAAAACGGCGATATTGTTACTGAAGTCATTGTTTATATTTGGCCTTAGTGTAAAGAAGACGTTATGCTTAATACGAATTGACTCCAAACATTTAAAAAACTATTAACAGTTAGTAATTGATGACATTTTCGCGTGTAATGTAGGTTAAGACGGTGTTGAGAAAAGCAGACTTTGTAGGTGGCCAGAGTACCAATGAACTTATACTCTTTGTAAATTTTTGAATTTTAAAAAGGCGTTACACAACAAGTATTGAATACATCGGGGTCAGAGTCGAACGGCTTGTTAACCGTACCACGCTCTGTCGATATTAAGTTATATTTTGGTACCTTGGCCAGAAACTGAGTGAGCGCCTATGCTAATGATCAAGGAAAAAGTTGTAAACTAGGATTCGGCTTTATATTTATAAGGCTTAATGCTGTTATCAGAGTTGTACGAACCTCTCGATTAAAACCTGACGTTTCATTATCCTTTTTCTTAAAAAAAAACAAAACAAAACAATGATGAAATCATGAAGGTTGTTTAGTTGGATTAAATAAATGTCTACAAAACTCGGTCGGGTAAAAGACTCGGACCGGCAACTCGGATCGCTGTTTAAAATAAGAGGGGTAGCTATTGCATATGTCTCGTTCTTAAATACCTGCCATAATTCTCAGAGAAAGCAATTGCGAACTTTATACTGCCTCCCCATATATTCTTCACTTCAAACGTCATCTAGCACATATAACTGGATCCTCGGTGATGGAAAGCAATGGTCAAAACAGTTGAGTGCTATTGGTAATATATGGTTTTGTCCATTAATTTATCTCGGTAAAGTAAATAATTCGCTGTAAATTTTGTGCACATTCCGTATTTTGGGCCCGAAATTAAAATATTTTAACAGCTATTAAAGAAAGAAAGTGAGGGTAAAAAGTTACCTCAATTGCTTGGGCGATTGTTTCTTTTGAATAATGAACATAAAAGAACTATCTGCATTATTTTTCACTTCTTCAGCCCAAACAAAAGTAATATTAAAAAGCTCTGACATTTAGCGATGACTGCCTCCTCCACAGGCTTTTCTTATTTTTTTTTCTTAGCGCAAAGGGCGATTGGGAGACTGGGCGACTGGAGACGTGGCAGTAGCGATGATGTCATTCTTAGCAACAGGTTGATTGATGTTGTTGTCGTATCCAGCAACCTCCACAAATGAATACCTTATTATAGGAAATTAGCGCTTTATGAAATTAACGCGAATTTAAAAAATTCGCGTCAATTTATGTTAATGTTAATTTCCGCGCTGTGTTAATAATTAAGTTGCGCGTTAATTTCCGCGACGTTAATTACCATTATTTTCCCCCAAATCTGTGACACACTTCAGACATTCTTGACACAGCCAAACAATAAATTTTATTCGCGCACTTAACATTTCACATCAGTCTTTCA